CATCTTCTTTATTTTGAACATTTTTATACCAACTGATTCGGGTCATCAGAAGTGAACCCAACTTCATTCCAGACTCCATGTTTCACCCGTGTAGACCAATAATGTGAGAGTGCTGTTGAAAGATGTCGTTTATGGTCGAATTCAGTTTTATTTAATTTTAAAGTAATTTTTTTCTTTGATTATTTTTATTTTTTATTGTCTCTCGATTAGTTATCAGTCAATTGAATTCAAAACTGATCGTCGTTCACACTTTTTTGAAAGAAAGACAGGCATCTTTCGAGAACTTTTTGAAAACTTAATAGCATGTCTTGCTAGTAGTGTTTTTAATGGGAATCTAAAATAAAATGTACAGTACACACTGTTTTTAATTAGCAGAGTGTACATTTCCATTGATTTTCATAAGCAAAATGTACGGTATTTAGCTTTTATATAATAAAAAGAAACTGTAAAAAAAATGTTGACAGCTGATTTATTCGGTAAAAAGGAACAATAATAAGTGAATAGAGAGCAAGGAAAAAAAGCAAACTGTTATCATTTATTTAGGAATATTAACCATATAAAAGTACAACGTTAAGAAAGCACATCATCATAAGAACCTTGATTTATTAGTTTTCAATATCCTAAATAGCGGAAAGGTCTATCGAAACTATCATGCTGCTCTTCATCATGGTAAACAGAAGTATGATTTGAAAAAAACTAAGTTTAATATTGCGGCATTTAATTTTTTCTGCAAGTGTCATATCAGCACCGAAGAATGAATTGATATGAATCTGTAAAAAAATAAAAATCACGAAGTCAGACAAAAGATGTCATTCAACAAACAACAGAAAAAATAAAATATCGATCAGTATTTAATCTTCGTTCAAATGTAATTGTTGGAAACTAAAAATATATTTAAAATTTCACATGCAAAGTGTACATTGTACACTGTGCTGTTGAAGCCAAGTGCATAGCAGCGTGTATTCTCATAGCAGCAAATGTTTGTACATTTTGCTTCTGCTGTGTATACTTGACATTAGAAACACTGCCTGCTAGTCTTCTAAATAAAATATATCAAAATCAGGAAGCGAAAAGCAATAAAGTAAGACCTCTAATTACTGCTGAATTATTGTATAATTGTTTTCTCTAACATTTTGCTTTTTACTTGGAAACGATTAATTCATCTCTCTCGATTTGACATATTATGACAAACATGTCTAAAAAATCTTGATCGTGTTCATAACGAAAAGATTTTATCGTATTGATAAATGATGGAACAAAGTTCTCTCTTAATTTGTTTCAAGAAACTTTTATCTATGATAGTCTTGATCTTACACATTTTTAACTTATGAACATATTAAGTTGATCGTTTTGATTCACCTATGATTTCGCCATAAAATTGTAGTGTGTAGTAAATGCAAAAATATAGGGGAGTATAGTGCATATGAGCGCTTTTACTAAATATTTGAACGTTGAAATCTTTCAGTATCTCTCGGTCAGATTGAAAGCAGAAAAATTTTTGTGAATTAAATGTGTTCATCTTTGTGCGATAAAGAGACGGTTATTATTAAACAACCTTTGAAATATTAAATTCAACAAAAAAATTGAGGCTGCATCAAATAGATTATCATTGATAAAAAGTGACATCGATTGATACTCTTTCTAAAGCATGAAGATATCCAGTTAAAAAGAACATTTTAGAAAAAAATTATTTCAGAAATTTTTTATCCTTGAGGTTTTTTATACCATGTTCAGATCAATAACACGTTAATTTAGGTTAATAGAAACTATTCTTTTTTGTAAAACAGAAAATATAGCTTTTGAAAAAGATAGACCTGAATTAGCAACCATTAAACGATATATTAAAAATATAAAAAGGTTCAATATTCACGCAAAACTCGTCATTAAATACTAGTTTTCGATCAGAGCTGCCAACAGGTCAGTACGAATGGCAGGCCAGGCTAAGAATAAGATGCTTGGTCTGGGCCTGGCCTGGCCTGGCTTGCAGGCTTTTGAGAGAAAAGAACAAATTTGTCAAATATTTTACTACTTTCATGGATAAAATTCTACAATGTGCAGCAGATTTCTTTTCATTATCTCATTCTAGTCGTGGTCGCAGATTTCTTTTCATTATCTCATTCTAGTCGTGGTCGCAGATTTCTTTTCATTATCTCATTCTAGTCGTGGTCGCATATTTCTCCTCATTTAAGATAATGAGATTGCGGCCTTTTCCAAGAAATGGAAAATCAAAAGATACATTGCTGAAAAAAGAATAGTCTTGCTTATGCAGACAGTTATGCTTTCAAATCCATTCTACTTTCATCAGGGTTGTTCCACAACAGTGAAAAATATATACTGTAATAAATATAAAATAAAAATTGAAAAATAGCAAACAGTTTTAATCCAAGTCAGAATTGTTTGCTGCTTGTCTTTGTTTTCTGAATGAACCTTGTTGGATTTTTTATTAGTCAGTTTCATCTTGTATAAGAACACCTTATCCTTCCCTATTGAGACACATTCTAACTTGATCATAAGTCAGCATAAAAATAAGAAAACAAGTAAATTAGTTTACAAGAATCATTTATCCTAACGAGAAAATATAGCCTTCTGAGTTGATGTAAACTCTCAGAGTTAGGTGTCACTTTGAATCTTCATTATAAATATTGAATTAGAATGGATGAGACATTTGAATATCACAAATGATTATCCTTGTCAATTATCCCAGAACATAGTGAGCTTACACATTCGCAATTCTGTTTACAAAAAAGACTTACATAAAACATCGAAAACCGAGGCAGGGAACAGGTGTTTGTTTTAAAATTAAAGCATGTCATTTTAAAATTTGCTATGAATGTTAAAATAAAAATTTGACTACAATCACTTTGTTCAAGTATCTTAAATCTGCAATGCCGCTTTGAATCAGAATGGATCAATGCACAAAAAATTTTACTACATGCCGTTCAGGCCACAAGTTTCGGCCTGGCCTGGCAGGCTGGCAGCTCTGTTTCCGATATAAACAGAGAAACATTCTAATCAACATTTCAGTAGAGGCAAATCAACCATTCTAAGCGTATGTTTTTCGTAAAGTCTCACTGTTATTTTACAAGTTTTTTTGGCTAATAGCATACGATAATCGACTGTAGTTTTCTTAGCAACTGAGAATTAGATATCATTGTTTTCTAGTCAATAATAGTTAATAACTTCAAAATCAATAATGATGATATTGTAGCAAGACGAACACGATTTCTGATAATGCAGTTTTGTAATTTCTTATGACATATTTGTTGTTTGACAGTTATTCTTAGATACGGTAGGAATGCAATCAGCAGAATTAAAATTGTTATTAATGTATTATTGAAAATATTATTTTTCGTCGTCATTTTGATTTTTATATCTTTAAAAAAATTAGAATACAGAATATGAAAAACTAAAAATTAAAAAGACAATCAATAGCGTTCCTATTACAGTTTATATGTTATACTATCGCATCTGTATTGAATCGAGAAACGAAAAAGATATTTTGGACGGCCGTAAAATATGGACGTTTTCTCTGATTGGCTTATAAATTCTAACAGAAGTAAGTCTATAGACTTTGGTTCACTTTCGTGGACCCATCTTTCTTTCTTTCTTTCTTTCTCTCTCTGTCTCTCTTATTTCCTCTCTCGCTATACAGTATATAAATATATAACCATATCAATTCATCCATACAGTCATTTATAGAAAAACAAGTCAAGAATAGATAAGTTTGTACGTTTAAATTAAAAAGAAAATTTTGGGCTTATTCTCAATCAACATCAACTTAATTTACACTTAACATTGACAACCGATAATATTAATACTCAATCAATCAGCACTAACTTACATACATAACATAAATTTCTGATAATAGGTTCCAAGAATATTTCTAACATTTGAAGATTTCAATATTATTTCGTAAGTTAATTTTCATCCATAGTTCTATAAGATTCAACAAGATCTTAGAAAAATTCTTATTTGAAATCATTAAGATTTGATAAAAAAATCCAATGAGATTTTACTCAATTTGATTGTTGGATAGATTCTTTAAGGATCGTCTCTCTAATCTCTATCAATGAAAATATTCTTTATATCCTTCAATATGAATCATCATTTATTGAAATTGTTTAATCAACGAAAGTATATTAAAAAAAATCAAACAAATTCTTTTTTTTTCTTTATTTTTGACACAAGGAAAAAGAAATAAAATTTATTGTTTTGTACATTAAATAAATCAAATAGATTTTAGTCGAAAAAGAAATTTATTAAGTAAATATATTTTTTGATACAATGAATAAATTACATGTCTTATACAAAAAGAATTTTTATTCAATGACTATTTCAATTTTGAGGATGATGTCAAAATATGCTAATCGTACTATCAATATTTCGAATAACAAATGTATCCATTGAGAAAGGAAAATGTATTGAATAAATGTTGATTCTCATTTATACATATATTCTATTTTACTTCTTGTTTAGAAATAAACAACAAAATGTACTATGTACATTTTCTTAAAGAAATTTTCATTTTGATTTGTAAACTTTAAATACTATCATCTATCATTTTTTAATTAAAAGATTATTGTTTTATTATATAAAATCTTTATTCTATTGTCTCAATTTCATGAAAAAAAACACATCTCAAATGTTGAAATTGAACATCTGATATGTCTCCGAAGTCAATTTACAACTTTTATTAAAGTTGAATCATGAGCATTATTGTTCTTTTTCTTTCATTTTTTAATTGTCAGAAATTTGTTTCTTTTTTTATACATCTATTGTCAAAACTTTTTTTCATTTAAATAAAATATAATAAAACATATTTGTTTTAGATGTTTCATTAGAAATATTTAAACAAAGTGTAGCATTAAAAAATAAATAAAATAAACAAGTTGAATAATATCATTTCAACAAAGAATATTTTGTCTGTTGAATTATCTATAATTAAACTATCAACTATTTATTATTATAATTACAAAACATTTATTTCATTCATCAATTAGATGGGTAAATCATAAAGTTAAAAAAAATATAATTATATTTTCTTTTCCTTTTTTTTATTTTGCTAAGCATCATTTATTCCAAAGTCTTTATCAACAAGTAAGTTTTTTAATCAATGAGGAATAAAAAACAAACAATTCATATCTCTTGATTATTCAGATAATCAATCTGTCAATCCATTAATAACTAATCAATCTCATCAATTTACTCTGTATATAGTTGCTGATGGTAATCAAGTTCAAGTCAGTAACGTTATTTATTTAATCGAAAAAAAAAAGAAAATAAAGATCTATGGTTTTAGCTTGTTGAAATACCTGATTATGTTAAAAAACCTGTCATATTTCGAAATAAAATTGGTAAAATTCTTCGTTCAACATTTCTACCTGCTATGTCAATAGGTCACCAACCTGTTATAGTTTCATTTGAAACATAGAAATTCTTTTATATGTAAGTAATTTTCAATGAAAAAGAGAATAGCTATTTTATCTGTTTAAATAAAAACGAGATACATAAAGAATCAAACAAAAACATTATCTTTAATTTTGTTTCTTTTTGTTTTGAGTATTCAATTCTTCAAGAACAAATTTTGTTCAACAATAACAAACTTCTGCTACTTCTGTTGCAAGACAACAACAAGTAAAAAACAAAAAGAAAAGTTCTTCACAAACAACTCCTATCACTCATACAAATTCATTAGTTAATATACAACAAAGTAAATTATTTTTTTGATTTTTGATTTAAAAAATAAAACAATTCTCTATTTTTTCTTTTCATAGAAAATTCAACAAATGCAACATTATGTTCAACATCAACTTTAAATGAACATAAGATGTTGAAAACATATGATAGTGATACATCATCAATATATAATGATAATAATTCATCATCATATGATATATCTGGTTAGTCCTTAAAATATGATTCAATAATTCAACTAATCTATGTATTTCTTTTTTGTTTTATTTGACTAAAAATAGATAATTCAATAACAACAACAATAAGATCAAATGAAGAATTAAACATTTCTTCAATAAATAATTCTAATGAAATATTAAATAATAATGTTATTATTAAAAAAGAACGTGATTATCCTGGTCTTGTAATTAATCAATTATATCCAATTATGTTAAATGATGATCAAGAAAAAAATGTTTTATTATCACATCCAAATTCATGGACGGTTTTACAAGTGGTTCATTATATGGGTTCCATGAATTTCGGCCCGGTCCGAAATTCCTGGTGGACTTTCGGCCCATGACCTCATTGACCCTAAAATAAAAAACCTAATTTTTTAAAATTAGTTGCTAGACATCGTAGTGCTGAGCAGGACGCCATAGTGCTCAGCGATATGATGTAGCTCTGAGCAGTATGACGTAGTGCTCAGCAGAATGTCATAGTGCTCACCGATATGTCGTAGTGATGAGCGGTATGGCGTGGTGGTGAGCAAGACGTCATAGGGCTGAGCGGTATGGCATAGTGCTGAGTAATATGACGTAGTGCTGAGCAGAGAGTATGGAGTGTGGATGTCTCTTCCTTCAACATCCACACTTCACCCACACCTACGCCATAATGCTGAAGATTATGACGTCCTGCTCAGCACTGCACCATACCATTCAGCGCTATGACGTTCTGTTCAGCACTACGCCATACCGCTAAGCGCTATGACGTTGTGCTGAGCAGAACGTCATAGTGCTCAGCACTACGCCATACCGCTCAGCACTATGGCGTTCTGCTCAGCGCTACGTCATATTGCTGAGCACTATGGCGTTCTGCTCAGCGCTACGTCATATTGGTGAGCACTATGGCGTTCTGCTCAGCACTACGATGTCTAGCAACTAATTTAAAAAAATCAGGATTTTCGGTCCGGCACGAAAAATCACCGGAATTTCGGAATGAGCCTAAAGTCCGGGCGGAAAATTTCGTGGGCCGAAATTCTGGTCTCCCCATTATATATCACGCTTAATTAATAGTGAATGTGCTCAATTATTTCATGAACATTCGATTAATGGAAAGGTTTTATTAATGCTTCAAAAAAACGATTTACTTGAGACAATGAAGATTAAATTAGGTGTAACATTGTTAATCATGGACGAAATAACAAAATTACGAGAACGTTTCACGTAGTTTTTTTTTCATTGTGTATGAAATTAGTCATGCTATTTTGTTTGTAATTTTCTTTTTTTTTTCTTTTTTGTATTTTGCAATTATAAAAAAGAAATAAAAATTCATGATAAAACAAAAGTACTTAACTTTTTAAATAAGATTAGAATATCTAAAGATCTTGAGAAACTTCTTTGCTTAACAACTGTACATATTTATTATTTTGTTAATTGAAGAGAAATTAATTGTTAAATTAATTGAATGTTTGTAGGATGACTAGATATGAGCAAGATCGTCCTTGTATCTCTTGGATTGAAATAAACTTTTTTTTTTGTTTTTGATCAAGGTTGGAACTAGAGTTCGTCAATTTCATGTTTGAAAATTTTCTATTAAATGAATTTGGATCTGAAAAATTTTCGATTTGATGGATTTAGTCATTTGTGGAATATGTAGAGCACACTAGTGATCGTTTAAAACAAAAGCCGAATAGAAGTATCTCGTAACTATAGGACAACATTCTAATTCCTATTAGAAGATATCATTGAGAGGATTAAAGTGCAGTTGAACCGTTTTCATGTCCGAAAATTTTTTGATCTATTAGATTTATCTATTAATAGCAAACAAGATATTTGAACTGCATTAGAAAAGAACTATAGTTCAGAAGAACTAACTGTGGTTCTCAGCAATATATTCTACTCATGGTTCTATTTTCACTTTTATTGTCATCAATGTTCTTTTGATTTTATGATAAAATCAATGTTGTAACTGACAAGTAAATTCTGGAAAACAATAATTCTTAAAACTTGCTAATATATATATATATTAACATTCATTATTATACTTCTCATTTTCACGATAAATTATGCTGATTCAAAATCTTAATTGATAAACTTAGTGATTACCAAAATCAACAGGTTTTCTTTCTCAGATTGATTTATATCAAACAAGATGGCTTTGTTCACTCTAGTTAGACAGTCTAATGATAGCATAGAAATCAAAAAGAAAGATTTATCAAATAATTAGAAAGAAAACAAAAATCATTTTTACTTAGCATTATATCATGTATTGAAAAAAAAGAAATACGCAATTTAGAAATGATGGTATTATCAATTGCGTAATAGAAAGGTCAAGGTCAATAACTTGTTTATTGACTGGAAACAGAAACGAGAAACAAGAAACGAAAAACGAAACGATCAAGAGTAATGAAAGAAGAAAAAAAAAGTCTTTTTTTCTTTCGGAAAAGACATATATGTTACGGTCAAAATTGGAATTCGGTCAAATTCTAAATTTGTCCAGACAAAATTGGAGTTCTAATTTTGGCCAGACAAAATCAGAATTTTGTTTTCATGAACTGTAAAACTGAGAAAAAAAGCAACACTACGAATACGAGTGGAATCAAAAATGATGGTGAAGACGAGAGACAGGTCTGAGTAAGAATGAAGAGGTCTGGGTCTATATCCCGAGGTTGCGAGTGAAATTAGAATGAATAATCGCGTAAAATGTTAGTCTTACTGAAAAATTCATCCTTACTAAGAAATTTTTCACCCTCATCAAGGCTACTGGCGGCGATCTTACTTAAAACCTTCATCCTGACTCTCATCACCATTCTTGACCTCATTTGTGTTTTTGGCATTAATTTTTGCTTAGTTTTATAATTCATCAAAATAAAATTCTAATTTTGTCCAGACAAAATTGGAAATCTAATTTTGACTGGACAAATTTAGAATTTGACCAGATTCCAATTTTGACCGTAACATATATATATATATGTATATATGATGATGACTCATTCTATAGAGCGAGAGAACAGAAAGAACCGATTCGAATATCAAACCTTTTATTTTTATAAATCAACATGATTTATCTGCCGAAAATACTAGAGGTCACTAGACATTACATTTATATAACACTTAATCAATATAATTGGTCTTACCTTACTCTAATCAATTGAATAGATGCTTTTATATGAAACAGATAATTAAGAAAGAAAAGTTGGCTGTTTTACTCTTTAGTTGTAGATTTCTATTGTGCTATTGGAATACAACGATTAAACGAATTTGTGACATTCTGCGAAAATCTCTGTTTATAAAACGACAAGAAAATGAATAAAGAAGCAAGGAAACATTCAGAAAACAAAAGTAATTCTTCAATGAAATTTAAACATTTTCGTGTAATTCTTATTTGAATACTTAGAAAAGAAACCAAAAGATATAAAAATTTCAAAATTAACTCCATTCAAAAAAGATTTAATACAAATAACTGAAGAAACAACAAAACAGGTTTCTATTTTTCAAAATAATTTCAATTAGATTCGATTTAATATATTTTTAGTTCGAACAACAACGAAGAAAATCTTTAGAATCAATGATGATTGATATTGAACGACGACAAAATGAATTTGAACATGAACAAATCTCATTAGTATAATTCACATTGATTTTTTGTTTTTTTGTTGTTGCTATTTATTATTTTTTAAATATTCATTTTAGAATGAACAAGATCAATTCGTATTTGATATTGGTGACGGACAAGAAAAATCACGAAAAACATTTTATCGAGAATTTAAAAAAGTATAAATTTAAAATTCAAAAAATAAATAAATTAATTTTAATTTTTGCTATTGAAAAGGTTATTGATGCATCTGATATAATTATTGAAGTACTTGATGCTCGTGATCCACTTGGATGTCGTTGTTCACAAGTTGAAGAAATTGTTTTAACTTCAGGAAAAAATAAAAAACTTATTTTATTACTCAATAAAATTGGTATGACATTTCTGTCTGTTTTTTTTATCTATTTAATCATTGAGATTTCTTTTTCCGAATGTTTTAATTAGATCTTATTCCACGTGATAATCTTGATAAATGGTTAAAATATCTACGTAATGAATTTCCAACTATTGCTTTTCGTTCATCAACTCAAAATCAACGTGATCGATTAGTACATATTGTTTTTTTCTTATCATTTACATATCTATATACATACTCATTCATCTAGGGTCATGTTACAACATCAATAAAAGCTTGTGATGAAAATTTACTTAAATCATCGAATAAATGCATTGGTGCATCAACATTAATGAATCTTCTTTCGAATTATTGTCGAAAAAATGATATTAAAACAAGTATTACAGTTGGAATTGTTGGTAAGAATTTTTATTTTTGATAAATAAAAAACAAACATAATTTCTTTTTTTTTTTTTAAGGATTTCCTAATGTTGGAAAAAGTAGTGTTATTAATAGTCTTAAACGAACTCAAGTATGTCAAACAGGTTCAATGCCAGGTATAACAAAGTAAAGAACATCGTTTTGTTAGATAATATATTTTTTCTACTTCTTTGATATAGACAAATGCAAACAATTAAATTAGATAAATTAATAAAATTATTTGATAGTCCAGGTATTGTTATGTCAAAAGAAACAAATCCGACTAGTCTTATACTTCGTAATTGTGTTCGAGTAAGTAAAATAATAGAAAAATAGATATGCTTTTTTTTCTTTTCATTTAATTTAGATTGAAACTATTGAGAATCCATTGCCAGCTATTGAATTATTACTTCATCGATGTACAAAAGAACAAGTAAAATTCTCAGTCTTTCTCACTATGGAAGAGCATGTATTGTAACCGCAGGACAGAGAACATATTCTTGTTAAACTAAGAACCTCATTCCTAAGCGAACTGACTGAGATATTCGAATTTAAAAGTCTTGATCGTGTATGTGGTATTTTGGAATATTCAGAATTTTAGCAGAATTTAGTTTTCGTTTTTCACTTTAGTTTTATAGAGTTTTTCGAGTTATGTAAAATGTATGAGGCAATAGACCAGAAATTTTGACTTCTGTAAAGTATCTATTTCCATATGTGACATATACTTTTTCTTATGTAACATGACGACAGTTCTATCCGAGCATGGCGAAAAAAAAATCCTATTGAAATTTTGAATTGTGGTTAGATTTATATAAGCTGTAAATACTCTAACATTCTAATATCTCGATCCGTGTACGTCATAAGCAGCTTGTATTTGAAATTTGTTCGTCTATCGGTAAGATCTTTACAATTTAACCTGAATATATTCTATGTTCTTGAGTTGCAATACGCATCCTTCTATTGTCAATAGAAGAAAGATAATTATTGTGATTTTAGATGATAATTCAATATAATCTAAGTGATTTTCAAGATGCTAATGAATTCTTGTCTAAAATAGCTGTTAAAATGGGTAGTTTAAAAAAAGGTGGTCTACCAGATATTCATAAAGCTGCACAACGAGTACTTTCTGATTGGACTAATGGTAAACTAACGTATTTTACTGAACCACCTGAACGAACAAATGAAATAATTAGTACTGAACTTGTCACACAAATGAAAGAAGCATTTGATATTGATGCATTATTGAATAATGAAGATGAACAATTGACAGATTTAGAAAATGATTCACTTAGTCAAATAACTCTTCCAGAATTAACTCGAGCACAAACTGATCTTGAGATAAATGAAGAAGAAAATCTATCTGAAAATGAGAATAGTATTACAGAAGCTATGGATGAAGATGATAAAAATTATCAACCGACAACAAAAGCTTCAAATCAAGTATTGAAATAGAAAGTCTTTTTTATGAACATTTTTTTCTGAAATTTTTAAACTAAAGGCTCATTTTACTGTTCAAGCAATGGATAAAACAAAACGTTTATTGAAAAAGCAAGCAATTGATTTAGCTGATAAGCAACATAATGATGAAATTCGACGATCAGTGCATCGATCCAATCTAACTCGACAACAAGAGTTTAAGAAAATTAAAAAAGATCAAAAAAAATTAGGTAAAATTTATTGTTTTCTTTTGATCTTATGTTTGATTCTATTTGATTAGAAAAATCTATGGAAAGTTTGGGGGATGCACTCGATTCTATCATTCGACTTACACCAACTTCGGCTATAAATGCTGCCGTGGATGATTAATACAATTTTCAAACAGTGTTTTGTTATTTTTCTTTTTATTTCTTTTCTTACAATCGAAATAAAAGTTGTTTTTTTTTGTGGCATAATAAAATTATGCAGAATTTCAATTAATATCTACATACAATTAAGACAATTGAAAAAAAAAGAATCAATTTTGAAGTAGATCTTTAGAATTGGATAAGCTTGATGCATACTTGATTTTTTTCTACTTTTGAGTAACTATTGATCTCGAAAAATGATGATGGTGAATTCGGAACAGATAAGTTCCAATGTATCGCAGAAGGATTTCGATGAGGTAATTTTTATTCTCAAATAATAGTTTTCTATTTGAAAAATTTGGTGAGAATGGCTGAGAATGAGATTCTCTAAATGTAGAACTTTAAGCTTCATTGATTAGTACGGTTCCCGCATTGAAGAGTGGCGAGAGTGGATCAGAGATGGTAGTTGACGATGCCTAATATACCTTGGAACATCAGTCATGTACATTCACACGGCTGAAAGAACAAATAAAATATCTCTTCACTAAAGTAGACAATTATTCAATGTACGGAGATTTTTCAATACTCAACTAGTCTTGTGTTATAATTTTCTTAGCGCAAGCGATGTCATATTTTATTGAAGTATCCTCTGTATACGATGACTATTGAGACATGATTTTTATCGTATATTAATCTCGAATGCAAGATATCTGTTACCAGCAGAAAGATCTATAAAAACAAGTACAATAA